TAGTCTGTGAGGTAGGAATGTGAAAATGAGACGGGGGAATTGGCACATTTATCCAAAGAGACTCAGCACAGCTTTATTTGGTGACAGCATCATTACCTACACTGTGACATGGAATTACAGGGGAAGTCCCTGTTTTAAGCTGTCGACTTAAAGAGTTTGCTTTCTCTCAGATTATGTGATTTGATTTGTGTTTTTATATAATCACCATCATCCATCTGGCACTTCTTGCACATCCTGTGACTGTGTATTGTCGTCTTTAGTGCACTTAAGCAAAAACCCTTGCAAGCGCTCAAACGCAGGAGCTGGGAGTTTACCTGGACATGAAAAAAGGAGCGCACCTGATTTTAAAATAAAGCCCGGTTGTGAATGACTCTGCACTCTATTTCAGGTCTTTTAATTGTATTGCATGTTTCCAGAGGCCCGTAAACTTGTCAGACTGTTACTAAATACAAAGCAGACAAATATTTAAGACTCAGAGCTCTTAGAGTTTTTAAAACATGCTTGAAAAGATGACAGAATGATCTCTTCAGGGAGGTTTTTCCAAAGTTATCATTTACCAGTTTGCCAGTTACCCATTTAGTTCATTCATTTGTGCAGATGTTTTCAGGGGTCTGTAATCCAGAAAATACTGCAAGTTGTTGAGGTTTAACAGTTTCCCAACAAAACTTAAAGTGTGCTGAAATCTAATATCTGCTAATTAATACTAGAATTTCACTCACCACCTCTACCACTGTAACTATGATTTAGCATTTAGGCTTCAGGTTTGGTGTGCTGGCACAGTTAAGTGTTTGATGTCTGACTTCGTCCTTGCCAACTTCAGTCGATGAACTGGACCCATTTACCGTGTTGGTGGTGTTTGGGGCGATTTTAAATGGAGCTGACAAATTTTATGACTTGCTGAGTCATTCAGAGGTTTGAGCTTCAGTTTGGTTGGAATTGTAACATTTTATTAGTCTGATACCTAAAAAGCAAAGCAACAAAACAACAACATAATAGCAACCAGTTGAGTGTCGTCACAGAGGATAGATGAAGAAAGATTACATTCTCATTTCAACCCTCATATATTCAAAACAAAATACTGCAGCCAGTTTTTTACGTATTTGTCAGATTTAAATGTTTCAGATCATCAAAAAAATGTTATATTAGACAAAGATTGACCAAAACAAATACAAAATTATGATTTCATATACTGGTGACCCCTTTAATTATGCCACACTATTAGTGTTAGTAAGGCTTTAGGGAATGTATAAATACAGATACATTTATCCATCTGTTACTGTTACACTATGTGTTGCTATCACTGATACTACATCACTGCTAGTAATAATCATAATCAGAACAGTATAGCTGTATTTATAAATGGCACCCAAAGTAATAAATTAAAATATAAATGATGAATTAAGCACTTTCTAATGCCTTAATAATGCGTAATAGTGTGACATTATTATAAAGTGCTACCAATTTATTAAGAGAAAAAAATGTATCCAAACCTAACTGGCCTTATGTGAAAAAGGAGTTACTTTGGACTTTTGGGAAAGCTGAGCTCCGTTTCACTACCTGTACTCGTGTCTCATCATTGTCAGACCTGTTATGTCAAGAAATCACTTAAATAAAAGCTGTGTGACAAAATGAAGGAGGCTGAAAGGTCTCAAAAGCAACACTTCATACAACAATCTAAAAAAATCATCTGAGAAACAAAGACACCAGACAATATTCCTAAATGGAGAAAACTTGGAACAGTGGTGAACTTTCCCACGAGTTGCCTGAGTCCAAGAGCAACTTATCCAAGAAGAACATCTAATAAGAAAGAGACTGGGCATGAATTGAATGCATGGGAGAGTTCAACAGCTGCTGAGCAAAAAGGTCACTGAAGCTTGTCTCACATTTGTCAAAACAAACATTTTGCCGATCATCAAGACAAAAAAATGACAAAATGGCAGCAGATGTCACTCTTGGACAATAATGTGTTAAAAGAAAACAGTTAAATTAACCAGCATTCTTCAGTTAATCTGACTTAATCGCTCGATGTGTTGTTTTACAATTTGGTTCAAAATTCCCTTTAACTTTCTTAAACCTAGAAAGTCTAACTTAAGTATTTCAGAAAACATGTTGGGGAATGAGAAAGAACATCATGTATGGGTAGAACTTCACTTATTCCAATTCAGTTTCTAATGGCACAAAGTTCAACTCATAACTATGACAAATTCTGGATATGATGTGAACAAAAACACCTGAAAGCTCAGTTTGAGTTTGGTGTCATTGGAGTTTTCTACAGTACCGCTGAGAGAGCTGGGGCTACAGTCATCGTTACTCTACAAGTAAAACTTTGGAAAATGATAAACAAAAACATTTTTGGGGAAAATACTGTCTACCTTTTCTTTCTCCCCTAGATATATTGTATATGTCATTTTGTTGTTATACGTTTTTTTCATTCAAAAAAAAGAAGTTCTTTGCCCTCGTAAACATGAAGCAATCTTTTTGAGTAAAATGTAACTTAAGTATAAAGAAAACGAAAGGTTTATTTACTCAAATCATCATTACAGCTACAGAAAAGATTTCGATGTCAGTAGATTGTGGTCGAGTTCTGCTTTCTTACCCGTCCCAGTTCAAGTACATAATACTAGCTACCAAGGCTGCTGTAGGACAAACATCTCAAGATCTCTGTCTAAATAAATAAATAAACCTGGGTAAATTCCCAGATGATTAAACATGCAACTATTTTGCTGGTAGTAACCGAAATAAGTTAAGAAAATCAACAGCCTATGTATGCAAGATAATTCATAATTTTATTGGGGGGATTATATTGGTTGGGTCCGATTATTGGGGGGGGCACAACCCCCTAACCACCCTGGAAATTACGCCCCTGCTGAAATGAGATGTCGGTAACACTGCTGGTTTTGCAGTTAGCTCTTGTTAGCCTGTATTGGTGAAGCTGTCTTCGAGGTCGGTGATACTTTGTTGGACTGACAGTTGGTAATTTTTAGGACTCTCAAGCCTAACATTAGCTGTTGTATATGAAGTGATCACCTCTACAAAAGCAGAATTTTCGACAGTTTGCTGTTTTGGAGCATTGAGGAGGAAAGAGAGGAAAGTAATTGTTGCTCCCCATCAGTCTATCTGGGAAGGGCCATTTCCAAAGAAGTCCAAACATTTTGAAGTTCATCATTCTAGAGTGAGAAAGATTATTCACAAGTGGAAAACATTTAAAATAGTGCACATCCCAGCAAATTAATCCAAAATCAGCTGTGCAATGCTTAGAGAAATTGCAAAAATCTCAGCAGCTACATGTTACACTGTACAAGCCTCAGTTAGCATGTTAAATGTTTAAGTTTAAGACAGAGTGAGTATGGCTTATTTGGAAGAGTTTTCAGGGGAAAGTCTTTCGTGCTGAAAGAACATAGCACGGTGCATTAGGGTTGCACAAACCCCAGGAACTGGAACAATATGTAACAGCAATAAAGTGCTTTGCCAAGTGGACCACTGCAGGTGAAAACCAACACAACATATCAGCACACAGCATTCCAGCTTTCAAGCACAGTGGTGGAGGGGTGATGATTTGGTTTGGTTTTGCACCCACTGGACACTTGAATGGACCAGTCTGTGTACTGGAGTCAGATATGAGCCCATCTGTCCAACAACTAAAGCTTGACAGTGATCCAAATAACAGCAGCAAATCTACAACAGAATGACTGAAAAAGAAACTAATCGGTGTGTCGCAGAAGCCCGATCACAGTCCAGACCTCAACCCGATGAAATGTTGTGGTGTATCCTTGAGAGAGTGGTGCATAAACAAATGCCAACAAACTTCAATGAAATGAAGCTTTGTTTAAAACATTGTGTAAAACCTTACATTTGAAAAAGCCAACTGTCCGTCTGTATCTGTGCAGGTCATGTTTTAACTGTCAGGCTAAGTCAGGTGGGAGGGTACCAAGCAAACTGGTGTTGACTTGGAGTTGCAAGTAAATACCAAATAATAAGTTTGCACTGCCAGATTGATTATTTCACTTTGACTCTGGTCTCAGCACTAAGTTAAGCTAATCAACTCTAAGCAAAAAAGTTCTTGTACTCTTTGATTTGATTTTTGATTGCTAATTGGTGTCTTTTGGTGCCTTTGAGTAGAGTTGGAAAGATGGCTATATATACTTTGGAGACCTCTGTGATGACTTGTGAAATGGTAATCACTCCGGCCAAAGAATGTACTTCTCTAAAGGCCCCAATCAGCCCCAACTATTAGGCTTCATGCAGGCATTCAGTGTCCCTTAAAATGACCAATGGCCTTGGCCACCTCCCAGTGAGTCTTTGCAGGCCACTATACTGTGCTCCCATTTTTTCACTGGCTTTCTTCGCCCTGCCTGCTTTCTTCACAGGCAGAGCTGGGGGCAATTTAAATGTGGCACAGTGTGAGAAAAGCGTCCTCTGCCAATGGCCTTGGGTTAAGCTTTAAAAAAAGCCACACAGAAGAAGGCAAACAGCCACAGCACAGCAAGAGGAGGACAAGTTGCTTCCCATCTGCCTCTTGCTGCTGACATACTCCTAGAACTATGGGAGATTGAGAGTAGGGGTTGGAGGGGGGTCTCATAGACATACTGAGGCCATTCACTACACACACAAAGTAAAAGTAGGGACGAAGAAACACTGGAAATTTACGGGGGATGGAGCATGGCACGATATGTTCATTAGCTCGCACCCAGAGGACATCAGATCACAGCTGAGTTAGCAGGGCAATGTAGCGCTAAGCGTTGTACGCCATTGCCTGAGGAGACAGTAAGACACAGAGATGCTAGTAGATAGAGGAGCAGAGACACATACAGCCAAGACCTGGGGTGGGGGGAGCCACGTGCCATTACACTGCCTCAGGAAACCACAGCATTTAGCCTCAGCTTTGTTCTTTAGAACTAACCTCCTTCCCTCCCCACAAAAACGCATGATGGCAAACAGAACATGTCCTACATCTTGGTTCCACCTCCAACCAACACGCAGCCGCAGGTGATTAGACTTACAGTTCCTCTCCTCTGTGGCTTTGGCGGGGATCTCCTCCACGCAGTCGGCTGGAAACCAGCCCACCTGGCCACGGGCACTGCCCTCCCAGAAACCCCCCTCTCCGATGCTCAGAACTGGACCAAGTGGTAGGAGAGAGAAAATTGGGAAAGTTAGAGGACAGTGAAAAAGGGACATGCTTTTTACTGTACAGATAATAGGACCCTCAGATCATTTAATCCATTTAAAGCAAAGGCACCAAAGGTATGTGCTTATACAGACTCATGCAGAGACTTGTGTGTGGACATGTCTGTGTTTTGACTGACCTTTTTTTAAAATGTTGCTATCTCATTATCTTATCTTATTGTCTCCATCTCTCCTCCACCTTTCTGTCACCTTTTGGTTTCTGTCCATTTTTCCAAGTGAATTAAATATGCAGTTCTTTCTCGTTTCCTCTTGCCTGGCGGCTCCATCTTCATCACCCTTTGCCAAATGCTTCCGCTGTCCCTCTTCTGCACATGTCCAAACCATCTCAGCCTTTGTCTCTAAACCACTGAATCTCAGCTGTCCCTCTGATGTAATCATGTCTAATCTTGTCCATTCTGGTCGCTCCCAATGAAAATGTCAAAATCTTCACCCTGCCACCTCCAGCTCTGCCTACGGTCTTTTTGTTAGATTTAGAGAATGACTGAATGAATGAACTAATTCAGGACGTTTGTAAAGCCACAGTCTGGATCAATTAAATATTCAGACCTAGAACTTGACCATTTTAAATGGCTAGACGAGCACATCAAGTATAAATATTATAGAGATCTTGTGCATTAAAATAAAGTTATTTGACTTGAAGAAAGTTTGGCTCGACAGGATGAGTTTGCAATAAAAGCAAAGCTTTGTAAAACTAAATCTTTGATTATTGTAGACAAATACTTTCTCTCTACATTTAAAAGTAGAGACGTTGCTGGTTTGAAAGGTCACAGTATTCCACGCAAACATTAGTAGTGGCTTAAAACATTGATGTGTTGGGCTGGTACACATCCTGTGTGATTGCTTACTAAATAATGCATTTTGTGCTCATTCATGCAAACCACAGAGATGAAGCGTCTGACTTAACATGTGCAGATGAAGATGATGTTAGTCCCCTGCATCGCCACTCTGTGGAGTCTAAATACAGATGCATCGTATCTGATGAAGTCATTTTCATCAGATATGGTAATTCGCTGTTTCCAGCTGTCTCAGACACAATTTTAAAATAAAGGAATCGGTTTTTTTCTTGTCTTTTTTCAGTTTTAGAATTCAACATTTGTTCAGTTAGGATCGGTGGTGGGCTGTAACCTCTACTCTGCAGCTCATTCTTATATAAAGGAGTTAAAATTTTTATAATATTTAACATTTGCAGTCATTTCCAAACATTCAAATTATACAACACATGGTTCATTTTATACTAATTTCCAGCTCCATAATTTTTATTCTTGGTCTCTTATTGAGTAAGACTTCAGACTTAGCTCTGCTCTACACAGCAGAAGATACAAGCAGGTGGGTGGAGCTTCTGTGCTCACAGCCAGAGCCTGAGACGACCATATTAAAGAAAAAGCTTGTTTTCACTTATTTATTTACTTATTTTCGGCCATGTTTAAATCGACGGTACTTATATGACCCCTTTCTACTCATTTTGAGCAGATGTATTTTCTACTGCAAAACAACATATAAATGTAAAAATACAAATAATTCAAGTTATTGTAGTAGCTGGTGTTGCTCGTGTCAGTGGGACTCAAACCGACGTTAAACAATGTGCTCCGCTGAATGTCCACTAACATGTACTGTACCTCGAGGGCCGGTGTCCTGCAGGTTTTAGATGTGTCCTTGATCCAACACAGCTGATTCAAATGGCTAAATTAGCTCCTCAACATGTCTTGAAGTTCTCCAGAGGCCTGGTAATGAACTAATCATTTGATTCAGGTGTGTTGACCCAGGGTGAGATCTAAAACCTGCAGGACACTGGCACTCAAGGCCTGGCGTTGCCTACCCCTGATGTACACGTTCACATAAAGAAATAAAGGCTGGCCTGTAGTAACAGTCTGGTCAGGCTGTTGCATAGATTTCACTTGGCCTGTTATAAAAGAACTGCTCTCCATTTACTGATAATGTGTGTCGTAGCAAAACTTTGATATTAGCTTAAACATTTTTCGCCCATCTCTCTTAACTACTAACTGTATAACAGTGTTTGGATTATGCTCACTTATGGATGTCAGACAAAAGGAATTAGCATTAAAAGTCTGACTGCTTCAAATAAAGAGATACTACAGTTGAGGTAAATAAAAGCCACAGTCACTAATTTAAGAAATATAGTGATTTGACTTCAGACGGACCCAGCAGTGGTCGTATGTCTTCCGTTGCAGTTTCACACATGCTTCAGCAGGTGTAAGTGTGTATGTGTATCTGGAGCTTAGAGTCAGATATGACAGGCGGGCTGATCTTGGATGGAAACAATTACAAATTCAGAACAAGTCATTTAATAATTTGCATCATGTTGGACTTTTCTTTGCAGTCAGGCTGTGCTGCTGCTTGCTCTTATGTTTACTGGCTTTTGTGACTTTTAAGGAAAGACAACACACTCAAAGAAGGCAACGGAAATCTCTGTGGAACAGGAAACCTGCCATGTTATTTTAAAACAACATTTCTATACACTCAGCTTAGACATAATAGAATAGAATAGAATTCAAATTTATTGTCATTGCACATGCACAGGTACAGGGCAACGAAACCTTTAAAAACATCAACTCATTCAAGAATAACCAACCAACAGCCAATCCTGTACAGATCTCCCCTCTTTTCTTTTTCTTAAATCTTTCTCCATATCCGAGTGTTTCGTTGTTTAACATTAGTCCTCCAAAACAGACCAAATGTACACTAGCTAGCAACACAGGCCATGTGCCAAACTACAGCGAGAAGCAGCTTGTGTATTTGCTGTGTATTTGTTCAGATGGTTGAAATACTAACTTCAGAAATAAACTCCATCTATGTTAGTCTAGAAATTCCCCGTCTCACCTTTGACCCTGTCGCCCTTGTAGAGGTTGATCTCCCCCTCAGCTTGGGCTGTATACGAACGAACCACTACGAAGTGTCTTCCTGGAACTGCACTGTACAGCTTCCTTCTGGTTCCAACTGCCTCTCCACGACTGCTGGGGCTGGAAGAAAGAAAAAAAATGTTTTATATGAAGTGGGTATAAGGACAGACATACCTAATTCTACAGGTGTGCAGGAAATTGTGGTCCTCGTGATGTATTACATCACACATGTTGTTTCTTTAGTTAAAAAACTAAAAAACTCACATGTGAAAATGCACGTGATTTAAATTATGCACAGGCGGTCTAGAGATTACCAACTGATATAATGGTACAGTTGTAAAAAGACTCATGTCAGCAAGTAACTCAAATATCACTACATTATTTGCAACATAAGAAAACAGGGAAACATACAGATGGTGCGGTCGCACACTATGGAAAAATGTGCCCACTGTCATTTAAAAGCTACTTTAGGAGAAACACTAAAGGTTAAGAGGTAAACAATATTTTAAATACATGCTCAAAAGTATGAACAAATCACCGGAGGTTACATGAAAAACAATAACGGCAGAGGCGACACTGGGAAAGCTGCTGGCGTGTGTCCCACACTGGTAAGTGGGGCAGAATGTGGGCTGGCTCTGACCCACGGAGCTGCAGTGGCTTCCAGGTAGGAGGCCAGACTCGCTAAAGACCACACAGAGAGCTAGCCAGGATTTGGCAGTAGTACAGAGGAATAATAACAAACTGCTAAATTAAGACAGCTAAAAATCTTTGATGTGCGTATCAGCGTGACATTTGAACAATCGGCTCCTGCAGAGATATCACTATTCTGCACTGGTTGTTAAATTTGAATGCACAAAAAAAGGGCAGCATTTATATGTGAGGAGATGGGACCACAGAGAGAAGAGTGGTTGGTGCTGGTAGATGTGTCTGACATGATAACACAGTGCCACATAGTGGGCAACCTTTGTAACCACATCCACGGAGCAGAAAAGGGAAATAAAAGTATGATACTACTATTGACTATTTAACTTGCCTAATTGAGGTGCATGAAGCTGTAAAATTATGTAAAGTAGACTTTAGAGTACAAAGAGCAAAAAACAGTTATGACAGGTGTTTTCATTTTAGCATCTTGCACTTGCTCACCATGTGAGAGGGTAGCAGTGAAGGAGAGGCTATAGGATAAAACCACAGTGAAAGAAAAACTAGGAGTGCCGGAGCGATAGATTGAGAGAGAGGAAGGAAATAGTTTTTTCAAGTAAGTGGGTCACCTTGTCCTGTAGACTGTACTCCTCTTCAAACCTTCATGGGCCTTTGGAGAGCTAACCCCATTCAATACCTACTGAGAGTGCTCACACATTTTTCCGAGGGAAAGCTGTGGACCAAACTGCAACTGTGCACTGTAAGTGTCCTGAAACACTGTGTATACCACCAAGAGGCCGATACTGTAGTATTCAGACACAGCAGTTCACAGCTGACATCATGACTGAATATCACAGAACAACTTGAGCTCGCTGTCGATGATTAACGCAGTGCTGTGAAAAAGTATTTGTCCCCTTCCTGATGTCTTAGCTTTCTGCATATTTTTCACTAGTAAATATTTTAGATCATAAAACAAATTTTAATATTAGACAAAATGAAATGTTTAAATTAAGGGGGGAAAGTACCTTAGTGTCCATAGCTCTATGTGAAAAAGTGTGACAAATATGCCAAAAACTAGGAACTTTTTCACAGCACTGTGGTATTTAACACACACCCTAAATCTAACAGGCATAAAAGAGGACGACCCAAACGCACCAGACATACTAAGCACGGTGTATGAGTGTCGTCTTCTCTTTCACAGACTGCTGCATGAAACTAAGAGTCCAAAATAAGTTACAAATAGAGTTGGATGTCTCGAGACCACTTTTACGTCTTGCTGTCCCGGTCTCGCTGTCTCAGATCGACATAGTGGTCGGGAGATTTGGAGTCAACAGTATCCATGACACACAACGTAACGTTCGATAATGTGTCATGTGCAAAATCATCAGCTCTAAGCGCCGTGCTTACGGAGTGCTTTGTAGTGAATCAGAAGAGTCGACTGCCATTGAGCGAGAGCCGCTCCTCACTTAATTTCCTTTCGCTGCTCAGCTCTCACACAGTGGCTCAGCTATGCTCCAATCTAATATCATTATGTGAAAAACAGAGAGGGTGATGGACGCGACAGTCAAGTGGAGCGTGCGTCTGTCCTCTCAGTGAGTGAGACAGTAGACAGCGGTGAGGAGGGCTGTGCAACAGCAAAAACACATAAATATGCCTGATACCCGTAAACGAAGCAGCGTCTGGCTGCAGTTTGAAGACTTTTTTGTCTCGGTCTCGATACCCTCTGGTCTTGGTCTTGTTTTGGTCTTGGTTTAGGCGGTCTTGACTACAAGTCTAGTTACAAAAACCTTCATGTATTGTAGAAACAGTCACCCTAACCAGGTAAAGTGCATGACATATTCATGAGTATCCAGCTAAAACAACTCAAGTCTCATTAAAATATTTACTTCTTAGAAATAATGAATAATATATTTATAAAAAGACAGCAACCGAAGGCGTTTTTGCTGTTGTCTGTGTTACGTAACTGCAATGAATTTGCGCTTCTCGAGTTATTAATAAACAGAACTACAGTATCAAACTGCATCTATTTATAATTGAACAGATTATAAGAGTTTTCATTATATGTTAATCTCACAGTTTTATCTGAGAACCAAAGTCTAATTTTATTCATCCAGTGTACTTTTTCCTTAGTAATGGATTTTTTTTTCAATCATTATATTGATTAAGTGTGAAATCTATTACTTAAACTACCCGACGCTGTCATAAATGAGTGCAAACCTGGGCACGCCAACTATCTGTTTTTCCCCAAGTGTCTTATTGACTCATGCTGCCAATAACGAAAGATGTGCTGATGGGTGAGGAGTGTTGTCTTTGTGTTTTTGTTGGAACGTCCACTCAGACTTTGCATACTGCATGGAGATTATAGTTTTCAGTCTTTATGTTACTTTAACAAAGATTCTGCTCTTTTTAGCTTGTGGTAGCCTGACTGAAGAACAGTTTACGTGTCTCTGACTGAATTGCTGTCCATGGTGCTGAGAGAGACAATGTGAGAGTGTGTGTTTGCTCTCTAACGTCAGTTTGGAAAACCATACTTTATAGCTACTGTTCTATTAAATGCTGTGTCATCAAAGCAGATGCTTTTATTGTGAGAATTCAAAAAGTCTCACACTCATGTTCCAAATTCTTATGCACTGCACAAAATGCTAAATCTGTACTTGTTGGTGATGTGAAGGAGGCATTTACTACTAAGTCAATTCAGAATTAAATCCTGGTCTCCAAAATCAGCAGGCCCACTGAGAAGGGAAAACTGTCAGCCATGTTTTCCCTTTCTTTCTTTTTTTGGCAATTACCCACGTGGCTTTGAGGTGCTAATTAGACAGTGTTGATTAATACCAGCTGTGCATAATTTGTGCTATTATTGGATGATCACCTGAGACCATGGGAGAGAGGAGAAAAGGGAGAGGGCAAGAGGGTGGGTAAAGAGTGAAAAGAAAACATGCAGCAGTAGGCCCTTCCAGACGGACAGTCCTCTCCATTAATGTGACGTAAGAATCTCGGTCACTTGAGTTAGGGTTATCACTGATGATCACTTGGACCTCCGATGGTTGATGCCCCCACTTACATTACGTTTTTATATCATTTTATTGCCTACTGGGGGCAGCAGAACAAAACACACAGCACAAATGTTCATCATTCCACTGAGTGCCTTTAAAAGCGCTATAAACGTACACTTTTACTGTAGGGAGGATTAATATATATAAATATGGACTGATTTTTCTGCGTCATTCAATACCAGCATCGACATATCACAGAAGTAGGAGACTGAACTGTGTGCACACTTATGCCTCTAAGCCTGCTTTGCTGAATGCACTGGGCTTCAACTATCAGGAGGACCAGGACAAGCTCAAACAACACTTAAGCACACTGCACCCTGTCAGTTGCCATTAAAATGAAAGACAACATAAAAACTGCCTGTGAGCGTTGAACAGAGCTTTGATTAACAGTTAGCAGGAGCCAAGTTAATTGTCTGTCAATAAACTCATGTCAAACAACACAATAGGCTAGAGATTTCAAATAAACAAAACTGACAGAGAAAAAAATTCCCCGCTCGCCCCTGCGGGCGGTCTATCCTTCAAGCTCGGGGTCCTGCGCAGTATCTTAGCTGTTCCCAGGACTGCGCTTCTCTAAACAGAGATCTCGAATGTTGTTCCTGGGATCTGCTGGAGCCACTCGTCTGCTTGGGAGACACTGGACCTAGTGCTCCAATTACCATTGGGAGCACAGTCACCCTCCACATCTTCTCGAGCTCTTCTCTGAGCCCTTAGTACTTCTCTAGCTTCTCATGTTCCTTCTTCCTGATGTTGCTGTCATTCGGTATCACTACATCGATCACTACGGACATCTTTTTCCACTTGTCTACCACCACTATGTCCGGTTGGTTACCCACCACCATTTTGATGGTGATCAGTCATTCTCCACCAGCCTAGGGGGCGTCTCCCATTTTGACCTTGGGACCTCTAGCAGAGGTGGAGGATGAACTCAACTGGGGTAACTGTTGTCTTATGTAGTCTGGGGATTGATTGAATGTTGGGGTTGGTGTAGTTTTTCTTTGGGTAGGCCGCCCGGGCTCTCTGGGGCTTGGTGCTGCTGCTGCTAGGGGCTCCAGTCTGGATGGACCTGGCCTTGGTGGATTACGGGGAATGGGAGTGTCTACCGGGGTCAGTGGAGGAGCTGGCTGCAGGGAGGGGGTACTGGACCTGGGAGTATAGAGAATATCTGGGGAGTGTAAGTGTGTGTACAGTGTTCATTTCTGTTTGTCTCCATGTTGGGCGAGTTGAGTATCTGTATATGTGTAGATGAGGGTGGGAATGCATGTTTGTGTCTATGTGTGCCTCTTCGTCTATCTTTATGTGTCAGGTCGGGTCTTAGACTTCACCTCTTTGGGAACATCATAGGCCCCCTCAGTGGTGGGGGCCTATCTCCCCCCCACCACACTCCCTGTCGGTGGCAGATGCCCTCACTCGCCGGTGCCTTGGTGGTTC